GGGACGGACGGCGCTGGGTTTTTTTTATTTCTTTTATAATTAAAAGTTAAAAATAAACATGCAATTACTACATTGCCCTTCATTAAATTAGATTAATAGGAGCCCTTGGATTTTAATGAGGTGCAAGGGTGGAGATTCACTTAGCCATTTGACAAAGGGGACCCCCCTTAGTCACCAGATCTTAGCCCGTTAATGACCTTGATTAGATGGAAACCTAAAACTAAAAATTTGTATCAAATAAGGGTAGCTTACTACCAATCCGTCCTCAGCAAGCATACTTCGCTGGAGGAAGCTCCGAGAGGGCATCTCCTTTTACAGGAATATGCGACCTATGCAGGGAAACACAATACGTATTCGAGGTGGTTCAACATCAACAACAACAATGAAATACCTTGTGGCAGGAGGAGCTCTTCTGGAGGCAGAAATCGAGGGCTAATTGGACCCTCAAGGGTGATAAGAACACGAGGTTCTTTCACACCAGTACTCTGACTAGAAGGAAGAGGAATCATATCACAAGATTGAAAGATGAAGATGGGACTTGGATCAAGGACCCTGACGCCATTCTTGAGCTCGCTAGGGGTTTCTATGTCAAGTTGTTTAAGAACGAGGCAAAAGAGTCCATGTCCTACCTTGATGCTGAGTTTTCCCTCCTGTTCGATCGCTTCTTCTTTCTGATGGGAGCCCCCCATCTACAGAGGAGATTAGGGAGATCGTTATGAAGATGGGAGGGCTGAAAGCACCGCGATCTGACGGATTTCATGCCCTCTTCTACCAGAAGCTATGGGATGTCGTGGGGATTGATTTCTTTAACTGTATCTCTTCTTGTTTCAGGAATCCTGAAGGCATCCGTCCCGTGAATACCACTCTGCTTGCCTTGATTCCGAAAACTGAGTCACCTTTGTCTGTGTCTCAATTTCGTCCGATTAGTTTGTGTAATGTGGGGTACGAAGTTGTTGCAAAATGCAATGCTAACAGACTCAAAAACCTTATGCCCCATCTTATTCATCCTAATCAGAGTAGGTTCGTTCCTAAAAGGCATATCACTGATAATATTCTGATCTTGCAGGAGATGGTTCATTCGATGTCGCAAAAATCAAGGAAGAAAGGAGTTATGCTTCTTAAAGTGAACTTGGCCAAAGCGTACGACATAATTGATGGGAGTTTTTAGAAGACACTCTGAAGCAGGCTAACATTCCAGAAGATTGTGTTCGTTTGATCATGGCATGTGTCACTTCCTCGGAGTTCCACGTACTTTGGAATGGAGTCACCAGGGGTGGAGCTAGGATTTGACTTTCGGGGGGGCCGAAAATTATTTAATACTATTACCGCAGAAGGGTGATAAAAAATTAAAAACTAAGCAAGACAATCAAAGTATTTTTTACTTTTAATAGTATTATGATTAATCATTTTAGATGATTAGAGTCAAAATATTGATGTAGAATAACTTATGAAATTAAATGAGTCAAGAAATAATATTGAAATAATGAAATGAATAAAACCATAACATGAAACTTGAAAGAGTAATTATATCTAATTAAATGAGTCAAGAAATAATTAAATTTAAAAGAGTAATTATGTAGATATATTAAAACAGAAAGCAAATAAAAGGTAACAAAATTGCAGAGGCTGGGTATTGAACTCTCAACCAGCTACATCATAAGTCACTTGCTCCCCGCTTGACTAAGCCTACTTTGCTTTTATCAAATTTGCACACTAAACATATTAGGTATGTTGTTAGTTTTTACGAAATTTTCAAAATATCGATGTAGTTTAGACATAACTTTCAAGATTGGGGGGGGGGGGGGGAGACCAGCTATAGCTCCGCCCCTGGGAGTCACTACAGAGGGTTTCAAACCGAGCCATGGGCTTTGACAGAGATGTCCCTTATCACCTTACCTTTTTTACTTTGTGCATTGAAAGATTAAGTCATTGCATTCATAGAGAGGTGTAGGATGGTAACTGGAAACCGATTTACCTGTCCACTGGAGGACATGCCTTATCCCACCTTTTCTTTGCGGATGACCTTGTTTTGTTTGCTCATGCTAGCTCGTCTCAGGCTGATATTGTTATGAACTGTTTGGAGAAATTTTGTGTTGCTTCGGGTGAATTGATTAGTAAGGAGAAGTCTATAGTTTTCTTTTCTAGGAACGTGTCTAGCCATGTCCGCAGTGTTATTTGTCGGTGTCTTGGAATCCAAGCCACTATGGACCTCGGGAAATAACTTGGTGTCCCGGTCCTGCATTCAGGCTTACCCGTGATACCTACAAATACATTTTGGAGAAAATGGATCACAAGCTTTCAACATGGAAAGCAAAAACTCTTTCACTTGCGGGAAGGGTGACTCTTGCTATGTCCGTTCTGAACGCTATTCCCTCTTGTGCGATGCAAACCTCCCCTCTTCCTATTTCTATTTGTGAAGAGATTGATAGTAAAATTAGAGGGTTTATGTGGGCCTCTCAACCTGGGAAAAGAAAAACTCACCTAGTATCTTGGGAAACAATTTGCAAGCCTAAGGATCAAGGAGGTTTGGGGCTTAGAACTGTTAGAGCTCTTAATATTGCCTTTATGATTAAGATCTCGTGGCAAATGTTGAATAATGAGTATGATCTTTGGGTTAAAGTCCTTCAATTTCCTCGATAAAAATGGAGAAATCACTTCAATGAAAAAGAGTAATTACTCAGTATGTGGAGAGGTGTGGTGAAAGTTATGCCTATCATGAAAAGTGCCACAATTTGGAGTGTGAGAAATTGATGTTCTACAAGATTTTGGAACCATCTTTGGATTGATAATGTGGTTTTTCTTGCTGATTTTCTTATTGTGGATGAATCTAATGTTGATCTTAACCCCCTGTGTCTGATTGGGTTAATGGTAATGGGGAGTGGGATTGGACGAGAATTAAGAGTTTTCTCCCTGAGCATATTCTTCCTTTAATTGCAGGTATGGAGGCCCCAAAGCTGAATCTCGGGGAGGACAAGACTATTTGGGGCATTGAACGAGATGGAAGATTCAGTTTGAAGTTTGCTTACAAGCTGGCGACGGGGATGATAAACCAGACAAAGACTGGAAGCTGTTTTGGAGATGAAAGGGCCCTAACCGAATCAAGCTCTTTTTATGGCTGGTCCTTCATGATCGACTCTTCACCAACCACAAGAGAGCTAAATTGAAGCTCACTGCAAATGGGAATTGCAACCGTTGCTCTGACCAAGAAGAGACGTCAGAACATATTCTTAGATCCTATTTCAAAGAAAGGGGAATCTGGAGGACCAAGCGACGTCTTCTTATTGACAGAGACCTTACCACTCCATTCTGTGAGTGGCTAATCAAGAACCTAATGGATGAGGATAATGGAGTTAAAGTTGGGATTAATTGTTGGAACTTGTGGAAGCAACGCAATGAGGAAGTTATGGAAGGAAGCACTTTCTCCCACGACTCTCTTATGTGTTGTATTTTTTCCTGGTTCACATTGTGGATCAGGCCTCTATGTGGGAGTAGAGGAGTACTGTGGAAAGAACCAGGTTCAAATTTGCTGCGACCTTTCATGGGAGCTTGGAAAGATGTGCTCAAGTCCAAACGGATGGTTCAGTGTTGACTAGCTCGGGTCAGACTGCAGCAAGAGGCCTCATTCGAGACCATCTTGGGAGGTGTCATGCTGCCATCACATGTAACATTGGATCCTGCTCTATCACTAGTGTCGAGCTTAAGGGAGCAGTTGAATGACTGTCCTTAGCTTGGAAGAAGGGGTTTAAGAAGGTGTTGCTCAAGCTGGACTCTGCTACAACAATTGTCGTTATGAAAAACAGTGAAGATGACAACCATTGCCATGGACTGATCACTAAGGAAATTGAGCGAATGTTAGGGTTGGATTGGGAGGTTAGAATATCCCGGGTTCAGGTGTTACCTCGGTGTCCTGTGTGCTGGGCGGGTCTGAAACGATGGAGCATCTTTTTTGGGAGTGTCCACTTGCTACAGCCCTCTGGACGCATTATGGATTGGAACATCTGGGCAATGGTTTACCTAGACAAACCTTTCCTTTCTTCCTTCAAAAATGCTTGCGTAGGGTGACCCAGCCGGCTCAAGTTATGGCTCTGGTGGCTCTGTTATGGCGTATTTGGAAGTCAAGGAATTGGGCTGCCTTTGAGGGTAAGCAGTTCTTGCTTCCTCAATTACTTTGACAATATCAACAGCAGGTCCATGAATGGGTGAGCTTGCCAGAGGATAGAATGGATCTGCATCGGGTGCCCCAGCAACTAATTTTGGAGGAAGGAGACTTGTTGAGTGTCGTCTGTATGTGGGATGGTGCGTTTAGTGCTGACTCACATTCAGTGTCGGGGGGGGGGGGGGGGGGGGGGGGGGGGGCTCTTGAAGGACGAGGGTGGTAATATGCTGTTGGCAAAGGGGGTGGTTTTTCCTAACATTGTGGATCCTCTCATGGCAGAGACACTTGGTCTCCGGGAAGCCATTCAGTGGTGTCAGGATCTTGGCATCCATCAAGTTAGGTTTGAGGGTGATGCCAAGGTGCTTATTGAGAATGTTAACGGCAAGGACGCGGGAGATGGTTGTGTTGGGGTTATCATCTCTGAGATCCTGAGTCTGTTAGCTCTAAATAGTGGTTTACAGGTTCGGTTCGTAGGTCGGAATAGCAATAGGGTGGTCATTGTGTGGCTAGGAAGGCCCTGTCTTTGTCTCCGACTTCGTGTCGATTGTATGATTTTCGTGCCTGGGTTGGGTCCAGGATGTAACTTGTGATCTTAATAGTCCAGGATGTAATTTGTGATCTAATTATCAATCAATATGATTATCTTTCGTAAAAAAAAAGACATTGAAAAAAAAACAATAACATTGAAATGCATGTGTTAATTAATGATTTAATGATACTGGGGTCGGTTTTCGGTCCAACCAACTGAGCAACAGAGGGGTGTTCTGGAAAATAGAGCGGCAAAAGTTTCTCCGTGTACCCTCCAATCTCCGTAAGACCGTAACCAATTCTTCCCTTTCCACCAGATAGCTCTCTTCCGCCGTCAGGCGAAGTCGCTCCCTTTTCGTTTCTTTCTTTCGCCGCCGGAACCAGACGATTAAGAGAACCAAGCATAGAGCTGGTCGGAGTCGATCTCAGTAGCCCTCTTGTCAGAAATTCTTACAACCCTTTTCCCGCGCTCTTCATTTTCCCCCCATTTTGCCAGTCTGGTGTTTGGGTTTAAGCTTCAGGGAAATGGAGAGATGGCGATTGCTTTCTGGGCGTTTCTTATGAAAATTCTCTGCCTCTTCCGTTGGTGCCCTCTCTTTCCCTTTGTGATTATTACTGCTGTTGTTGGATTCGTGCTTAGGTTGTATGTTTGGTTGCTTAGAAATTGAGAGAAAGCTAGACGAGGTCAACCCATTAGGTTTCTCTCCTCGGTTCCAGTAGTAGCAGAATGCAGTTTAGCTTAGACACGCATGCTTCAACTTAAACTCGTTAGTTGTACAACTCTAGGATAGGAGGAGGTCATTTAGCTTCGATTTCCATGAATTCCTGACCTCTATTGATTTCCAGTATTATTTTCTGTCCATTTTTGGTCGTTTCATCTTGCATTTCCTTTTTGTTTGGTGTAGGTCAAACGCCAAGGAAAGGCTCGTTGCTTAGCCGGGAACGCGAGCTCTGTGAGAAATTAGTCATTATTAGAAGACTACCGGTTTCCTTATCACTGTTTCTAGCTTTGTTAGACTGGTAAGGAAATGAGTTTGTCTGTGGTTCTACTTGTCTAACAAGGCTGACTATTTGTTATGCTCAAAGGAGATAGGTCCTTTCATTCTGGTAGTTGCATAAGGATACTGACCAATGAGTGCTTACTATATCTCCTTAAGCCATTGATTCTACACTGCAAGCTCCTAGAAGCAGCTTCAAGACGATTGTTTGGTGTAGCTTGTGTTTCAATAGTGGAAAGCATTTTCAGTAATTATGCCAAAGACCATTGATTCTATACTGGTTGATAGTATCACAGTCGAAGTTGATAGCTGATTTGATCAACGTGCTATTGCAGAGTTTTATCACCAAAGAGTTCAGCCAGGAAGTTAACCAATGACAAGCTAAAGGGCTAGTTCCCGGCTCTTCAACAGGTGCCATAACCACTTACATTGTTCTTATTGCTTCTGTACCACTCAATTCAAAGAAATAGCACAGTAGACTGATAGAGAAGAATTGGGATTGGGAATTGAGAAAGAGAATTAGGGATTTGAAGTAGAATTGGGGAAGAACAGAGAGAAGAGGGATTTAGGGATTTTGATATTATTATTGCTTAATTCCAAAATGAACGTACTAAGCTCTCTTTTATGAGTTTCAGCAACCAACAAAAATAACCTAACTGCTACTCAACCCGGGCCCACTCGGCCGGCCCCAACCCACCTACCCGCCTCGCGGGTTTCTATCATAGACTCGAGCAGTAAGTAAAGAATAACAGTATGCTAATAGATTGGTCCCAGATATGAGTCAATTCAGTTTCCGCAGGCGATTTTACTGTACCAGGAACTGCTGAAGCTATGGAATCCAGTTCTGGAGATTCTTCGGCTGTGCCATGGTCGGAGAAAGGATGGGGCGAGAAGGTTTCTGAGAAGGTGATCATGAAATACAATTCTCTTCCTAAGAAAGGAAAGCCGCAGGGAACAGAAGTCACAGTCTTGGCCGCATTTCTCATTTCCCGGCCTTCTGGAGGTCACCCTCTATTTACCATCTCGTAACTCTGAATTTTCTTCCATGTCAGTGGAATTTTCATTTGCTAAGGACCATAAGACTTCTAAGGTTTCACTCTAATTTTTTTCTACTTCTTTCTTTTTGTGTCTTGCTGAATTGCAGTGTTAGAAGTGGTGGCTTTAGGGACTGGGACAAAATGCATTGGGAGGTCGCGCTTGAGCAATCGCGGTGACGTTGTGAATGATTCTCACGCCGAGATTATTGCTCGGAGAGCTTTGATGAGGTTCGCGGTTCATTGATTGTCAACTTAAATATTTCCTAGATTCAGCTTGCTGCTATATATTGCTTAATTTCCGCGGGCTAGGTTGCTCTACACAGAGATTCAGAGGCTCACCGAACTTCCAAACCAGCAAGGAATGGCAGATGGAAGGACACGGTTGCTTGAAGACAGCGCTGAAAACCGGTTGTTTGATGTGGATGGGGATGATGGTAACCATGTGAAGTACAAATTGAGAGCTGGGTGGGACTTGCATATGTATATCTCGCAGTTGCCATGTAATTGTCGCAGATGTTTCTCATCCTAGTGTGTATTTATTGGTGAATGTGTCTCGATTTAGGATTCGCAGAGTTCTCTTGACTCTTGTTAACTGATTTTGCTGTAGGTGGGGATGCCTCTGGAAGTTCATCATTTCTTTCCACGCGAAATGCCTTCGAAAAAAAGGAAAATTTAGCGAATGATTGTACAGGTGAGCCATCGAAGAAGAAGCCAAGGACAGATAGTATTCAAGGTTCAACTGCGGGTTTGTGTTAAACAACATTGGAAAGTTGTTACATACTTTGATGCATAAGTCCAAAGCCTTTCTCATGGTTTGTTCTTGAGCTATTACATTTTAGTTGAGATGAAATCTTATGCATGGCCAACTTTTCAGTGGATGATCTAAGATATTGCGGCGTGGTTCAAAGGAAGCCAGGTCGCGGCGATACAACATTTTCAGTTAGCTGCTCTGACAAGATAGCTCGTTGGAATGTTCTTGGAGTTCAAGGTCAGTTGAATCATTGATTGGCAGGCTGTGGTGATGCAACATTTTTTTTGTGCTCCATGCATCAGTGACCACATCTTCAATAAAGAAAAATTAAACACCATTACCTTTGCAATGAATGAGTTACCACTAGAAGTTGTTTTTCCCTCGATGTGCTTGGTGTTGGTGCTTGCACTTTCTTAGAGTTTATCCATAATACTGAAATGACTAGGTGTGGCTACTTCTTATTTCAGGAGCTCTGCTTTCACACTTCATTCCACCTGTTTACATTTCCTCTGTTACTGTCGGGAACTCTCCTACTATTGCTGAAAGTTTTTGTTTGGAAGAGCACTTGAAAAGATCGTTGTATGAACGGATCTTGCCATCGTCAAAGGAAGTGTCAAATCCCTATCGAGTACATGAGGTATCGTTGTCACATCACAATTTTTTTTCTTCTTCTTCTTCTTCTTCTTCTTCTTCTTCTTCTTCTTCTTCTTCTTCTTCTTCTTCTTCTTCTTCTTCTTCTTCTTCTGTATGCAACCTATACATTCTGATTATTACTGATTATATTATGAGCAGCCAGTTTTCTCGGTGGCTCCTGTACCACCCAAGGAGTTCCAGCATGCTGATACTGCTCTTGCCACTTTGACCTGCGGGTAAATCACTAATGTTTTCAGATTTTAATTTACTGGTATTCGATGTTGTTTGACATGCGCTCTTAGCTTAGTCCGTTTCCATAACAATAGGTATTCCATATGTTGGAATAACTCTGGTTTGCATGAAGTTGTCCTTGGGACCACTGGTAGAAAGCAAGGTACCTCTGTGAAAGCTGCTCTTTCTCCGTCCAGTCAGTCATTGCTATGCAAGTAAGCTAACTTCATTTGTTTCAAGCAGTTCTTACGGTGGATGGTTAATCTAATTTGCACCACTTCTAAAGAGTTTTCTCTGTTTTCCCCCATCAATTACTGTACGATGTTTTGAAGAAAGCGACTGCTCGATCTTTTTCTGATGCTGAGGCCCGAGTTTGAGAAAACAGACCCTCTCCATGAGACTTCTTACAGAGACCTCAAGGTTAAGTTTTAATTTGTTTTTAATGGAAATGCTTTTCGGCGAGTTGATACAATCAATATAGTTGCTTCCTGCCCTTTGGCATTAGTACCCCGCCTACACCTGAACTCGTGATTGAATTCGGGTCAGGCGCCAAAATGTCGTGAGCTGCTTTTGCAGAGCAATGTATCTCATAGTACATTGTCTGAAGATAATTATGAAGTCAGGTATTTTGGGTGGTAGCAGGATCCATATCAAGACCTTATGTTGGAGATGAAGCCTTGCCTGGCTGGGCCTGTTGGAAGCATAGTGTATACCTTAAAGCTTCTTCTGAGCCTGCTGTGTAGTGCCTGAAATGTTCCTGTTCCTGGGAATCGGTTCTGCCTCAATAATTTATTTGTCAATTTGCAGAGCAGCGCAAGCGAGTACAGTACAGCTTCAAAAACATTTAAAGGGAAGCAGCCTTTTGATAACTGGCCGATGAAACCATTGGATCTGGAGGCATTCTTTCAGGCTGGTGGAGTGGAGACTTGCAGTTACTAGGAGATTATGCGTGTGTATTGCAGACAATTTTGGATAGTTTTGTGAGAAACCTTTGGCATGTGAAATTCAATGTATAATGTGTTTGGATAAGTGTATTTCAAACGCATATATATTTGAAATGCACACATATTTGAAATTATAAATTTGAAATGCTTTTAATTTTAATTTATTGTTTGGTTATTCATCTGCTACTTTTTGCTCATTCTTTTATTTCGTATTTATATACTTTTTCTTTTTTTTTATGCTTAGATCAAAATTTCATTAAGAACCGGCAACTAGGGGTGGCCGTTCGATTACCGGTTACCGGTTAACCGGTCGGTTAAATCAATAACCGACCGGTTATCGACTAACCGGTAACCGAAGTAACCGAACTTCGGTCGGTTATCGGAGGCTCGACGACATGGTTTTTGGTCTTAAAAGTGGGTCGGTTAACCGATAACCGAGATAACCGAGAAACCGAAGCCTATTTCGGGCGGTTTTCGGTAGGGAGAGTGATTATTTCGGTTAACCGATAACCGGCCGATCGGTTATAACCGAAATAACCGAAATGCCACCCCTACCGGCAACCAATAACAAAAAACCATGACACTCCTCAAACCAACAAAGTCTGTACAATAATACTCCCTAAAAAAACACAAAAGGAAGCAAACCGAAAAAACTACCCCAATCCCCTAGAAATGAAACAAGCTAGTAAGCTCTGGTCCATTTGACAGTGGTACTCAATGATCCACTTCGCCTGCGCAACAATCTAGGAAGGAGGCCTTGCTCCAACAGAGCCATACATCCTGGAGCACCGCTCCCGCCAGATCAAACTAAGAACTACACTCCAAGATAGGCGATTTAAGCTTGCAGTAGCAGATGAACCACACCAGCGAGACACCATTGCAATACTGTTGGCCAATCTCCCAAAGTTGGCGGAGCAGCAGCCTGCATAACCTGATCTAGGACAATCTTTGTGAAAGCGCAGGTGACAAAAAAGATGATGCCTAGTCACCAAGCCTCCAGGACAAAGCAAGCAAACACCAGAGAGAGGCTTACCCCACAAAATCAGTGATCCTGCAACTTTAGCCTATCATGAATTATAAGCCAGAGTATGAAACCATGACGAGGAACAATCATTTTGTCCCATACAAGATTACCCCAAGGCACAATGTTATTTATTTGCCTTAGGGAGTTCCAGACTCGCTTCACAGAATAAAAGGCCATTACTTCTCCATCCCATGCCAAGCCTCCCCTCAATTGTGAGACAAAAGGTCTAGCCACCACACGACACTTAAGAATCCTTTTCCAGATCCAGGAGCATGAAACAAAAGCCTTAATATCCCAAATTGAAGCATGCTTGACAAGATAACGACGAACCCAGGCCACCCAGAGTGAGCCTTCCTCAGCAAGAATCGCCCAGAGATGTCTAACAACGCATGCCTTGTTCCAGATTGCAAAATTTCGAATCCCAAGTCCTCTTTCCTTCTTTGGTCGTGCAAGAAAATCACATGAAACAACAGTCCTCGACCTCAATGATGAATCAGTTATATCCCAAAGGAACTTGCTACAAATGGACTCCACCTCTTTGATAACAAACCGAGTAAGAAGGAAGAGGCCCATCCAGAATTGCAGAACACTAGTCAATACTGATGTAATGAGCTGCAACAGACCAACAAAACTTAAAGTCTTTGCCCTCCATCTACAGATTTTGGCCATGATTTTCTCCACTAGGACACGACATTCAGCCCTTGTAAGCTTACCTGTAATGAGCGGCACCCCAAGATACCTGACAGGGAGGTTGCCAAGAGGAAATTTCGAATACGAGGAAATATTTTGTTGCTCAGATTCAGAAACCCCCTAGAGAACAACTAGCACTTATCAGGATTTTACTTTAAGCCACAGACATTGTAGAAAGCATTTAAGACTCTACAGACCCCTGCTACCCCTCTGATAGAACCATTAGTGAAGATCAACAAATCATTAGCAAAACACAGGTGTGTAATTGCCAATGGTTTACACCTGGGGTGGAAGAGGATTTGGTTGTGCCTAACTGCAATTTTCAACATAGCATCCAGGACCTCCATTGCAACTGTAAACAAATAAGGGGAGAGCAGGTCCCCTTGCCTAAGATCCCTTTTCATCTCAAAGAAACCACAAATGCCACCATTCATCACAACACTAACCTTTGGTGTGTACACACAGGCTTTCAACCAATTAATAAACAAGTCAGGAATCCCCATTCTACTAAGGACAGATAATAAGAAAGCCCAATTGACAGAGTCAAAAGCTTTCATAATATCAATTTTCATAGCACAACAAGGTGAAATAAGTTTTCTGTTATAATCTTTCACTAATTCTGATGTCAATAGTATATTATCACTAATGGATCGATCTTTTATGAAAGCAGACTGGGATGTAGATATTAAAGAGGGCAGGACAGCTGCTAACCTATTTGCCAGAACATTTGAGATCCCCTTGTAAATCGTAGTACTACAGGAGATAGGCCAAAAGTCTTTCATTTTCCAGCATTTGGAACTTTAGCCACAAGCGTGAAAAGAGTATAATTTAGAACATGGGGCATAATGCCAGAAGAAAAGAACTCCAAAGCAACATCTTCAACCAAACTCCCAATCAAATCCCAGTGCAACCTGTAGAACTCAGATGGAAACCCATCAGGCCCTGGAGCCTTGTCTCTCCCTAGGTTCTTGAATACTTGATGAATTTCCTCCCTAGAAATTGGAGAAACCAGTGAAAGAGCCTCCTCGTGTGAGAGTGTTTTAAGGGACAATGCATCATAGAAGCTTGAAGGATGAACAAAAACAGCAGGGTCAACTTCACCAATGAGCTGTTTATAGAAATCAACTGCAACCTTGCCCATTTCTTGAACAACAGTCACCTCTTGCCCTTGAGAATACAAAAGGCGGGTGATCTGTTGGCGATGGGAGTGGATCTTCACAGAACGGTGGAAATAGGTTGTATTCATATCCCCCTCCTGCACCCCTCTGGTATGAGCTTTCTGTTTATAAAAACTCTCTTTAGCTTTCTGCAACTCGTGACATTCAACTGAAAGCTTCTTTTCTTCCTCCACCAGAGCAGTGTTAGGATTAGCAAGGACGTACATTTGCAACATCTCTAATCTACTCTCACTATCTCGGGTCTGAGCAGAAATATTAGCATAAACCTCCCTGTTAAGTTTTCTTAGAACCATCCTAACTTTTTGGAGCTTACCATAGAGCAAAAAGTAGGGATACCCATCCACCTTAAAACTCCAAGCATCTGAAACTAAGCTACTGTAAGTAGGATGAATGGCCCAAAAAATAAAATACTAAAAAAGGTTTTGGGAAGCTCTCCACCTGGGGAGTAACTGTCAATAACAACCCACAATGATCTGAGACTCTTGGAGGAGTAGTAAGAGCAGATCTAGCTGGAAAAGTAGACAACCAGGCTTCATTAATTAAAAAACTCTATCCGGTCGTTTTGCAATGGGATTCTCTACCTGCTTGTTCCACCAATTAAACTATGCACCCATAACCTTGTGATCCACCACTTTCATGTCATCAACCCAGGATTTAAAGGAAACCATGCTAGAGTTCATAACCATGAGGCTTGAAGTTTCTCCTAGATCAAGCACAACATTAAAATCACTAAGAATAGCCATAGGGAGATTGACCTCTTGATGTAGTAAAAGATCCTCGTACAAAACACCCCTGTCAACTTCCGTATTTGGACTATATACCACCAGAAGAACAAAAGGGGAAGACCCTCCAACTCTTACTTTGAGAAAATGTTGCCCATCATCAACCTTAGTGATATCCAGCCTATCCTTCCAGGGAAACCAGACTCTTTCATTTGGGGATTTAGGGTAGTTATTCAAATGCTTCAAATGACTAAAATATTTAGTAAGTATATCAATACTATTAACTGCTGTGACTCTAGTTTCAATTACTACTATTATATCCAAATTCAGACGACAAAACTTCTTCAGCATTGCAGTGTACTTCTCAGGGGCATTAAAACCCCTGATGTTCCAACACATAACCTTAATTTCCCACGTTTCTTCCCCCTACCTTTACCTTTAGCAGGAGCAGGTGGAGGAGGATCAACAACACGCCTCAAACAGGTCTACTTAAGGAAGGAAATGCTTTATCATCAAGAGAGTTTTTCCCTGAACCAGAAAACAAGTTCCACGGACTTTTGGATGAAGACCCAGGGGCAAGAGCTCTTACTCTATTCTTCCTATTTGTAACCACTTGGAATTCATCTTCATCAGCAGCCTTGGAAGACTCCTTTTGATCACCAAGGTCCTGCACTGGAATAGGAGAAGCCTCAGTACCATCTACAACCGTAGAGCTCGGACCAGCTTTCAATTCTGGCTGAACCATATCCTCTTCTGGAACCACAATCACACTTTTACCCTTGTCCTTCTGCACAATAGGTGCTATTTCCTTCACTCGAGGCCGTTTCACAACCCATACCTTCTTGTTTTCCCCCCCAAGATTCGAGCAATCATGTCCAAACAATTAACACTTCTCACATTTGCTCGGGACATGACAAAACTCGACCTCCACCAGCATCGCTGGGCTACCATTAGGGGTAATACTCAACTTGTTCACTAGATTCGATTTCACATAAATTTCAACACAAATCTTCGCAACCCCTAACCTCGTCCCCTGCTTCGTAGCGAAGTCCATAAAAAGGGGCCACCCCAAATAACTGGCAATACGCCCCAATCCCTCCTTAGAAGTCATCTCAGAAGGTAGATTCGATAACCTAACCCAGACTAGAGCCACAGAGTTATCAATAGCAAGAGGCTGAATACCTGGCTCCCACTTGCGCAGGAAAATCATATTCTCGCGATGGTGCCAAGGCCCTCCTTCGAAGACCCAACGACAAACCTCTGCGTTTGGATATTGAAATAAGACCAGACGTTCCCCAAGCCATGAAACTCGGACAGCTCTATCGCGCCCCCAAATCCAGTTCGCCCAGAAATGAATGGAAGAAAGCGACGCCGACCGATCAAGGAATTGACCAACTAACCAGTGAACCCACCTCTTGGAACCCTCTTCGAGAACCGATTTGAGTATCCTCAGTGAGCCATTAACATACTCTCGTTCTTAGTAGTCCAGTTTAAGATCCAGATTGATCAAAAAAGAGACGCCCAAGTGCGCCTGTCAC